TAGCCTAATTAATGCATTGAATTTGTATGCATCGTCAGTTGATGGAGAAACACTTATATAAAACGGAGATAACACTAGTTTGCTATCCTTGGCTAGTCACGGTATACCACATGTGATAACTTTTCTACGTGACATTATATAATTGACAGATGATAGCAAAACATTATTATCCTCGTTTCATACAAATTTTTCTACAGTCGATGAGTACCAGATAATTTCTGCTATTAATTGAGGAGCTTTGAATTTCTCAACAACTAATGAATGCATTGGTTTGTATGCATCGTCATCTCCCAAGGATTGAAAATAAGTAGGCCTGTGAATATGAAAATAAGTTGGAGCATTCAGTAGTATTATCTATTCCGATTATATTTCATCGAGAACATTTAATTAACTGACATAGAGATTGTTCCATTGTTGTGGTGGCTATCGGCCTATAGGTTCAATGGAGTACGAAAAGGAAAGGATCGGCCTTGATACGGTGAAATTGATGCAAACCGCACCGGGATTTAGGGCACCCAATTTTTTTTGAACATGTATATATTATATGTATAAGTGAGCACACAGCACACTAGAGTTGGTTTGTCTTGCTCTAACTCTCACTAGAAGTACATGGTCAATTCCCACTTATATGCTCAAATAGTTTTCTTTTTACATATTTTTTTAAAATAATTAAAATTTCTCTATAAAATGACCCTGAATTTAAATGAGATAAAATTTGTTAGGACAGAAAACCTACAGTTGTTAATGTGTGAGTCTCACATAAGAATTTCAATGAGTTGGGAGTAACGGATGACTAGTCAACACAACTTGACATATATCCTAATATATGCAATGCAAGATTTTACCTTTGAGCTGATTTGCATTTAGCCACACTTTATCTTAGTCATAACAGCTCTGTTCAACAAAGTCTATCCTAGAGTAATTAATCTTGATTTACATTAGCAAATACAATATTGTCTATAAGGAAGCTAGAAATCAAAATAGCTAAAGCTTACCTTAAAATTAATAAACGTTGGGACTGCAAAATAGACACGGTACCAAATAAAATGGACCACACCCAAATATCAACAAAGATTAAATAAACAATCCCAAGGTTAAATGTACATTCGGACTATAATTTCCTTCACAACAATATTTCGTGACATTGGTCTTTGATGACATGTTGTGCAACAAGCTCTTCTTAACGAGAAATTATTGTGTGGTAATTGGAGTACGGCTACATGGTAAAACTTGTACACATGCTATAATATGGGTGGAGGAGGGTCGATATTTCCCCCTTTGATGGAATAATATCACTAAATCTACTTATATTATAACACGTGGACAAGTTATATCATGTAACTGTACTCTAGTAGTAGTATATAATTACCCCTAGCGTCATTCAAAAATATCTCATGCCATTGTTTTCATTACGAAAATATGAATCAATGCTTTTAACATTCAAGAAAGGCTTATTTACTGTAGTGCCTCCAGAAACTTTGGTCAAATCTCACTTTATCACCCTAACCCCCTTAACTACAACGAGTGATGATGTGTCATGTGAATGGTCTACTTTTTTTTATTTAAATTGAATGAAATATATAATAAAATAATGTAATTACTTGTTTAATTAAAAAATTATTTTAAAAAATAGAGAAATTAATAAACAAAAATCTTTCTTCTCTATGCTTTAAAAATAAAATTATTTTTTGTTATAAAAAATAAAAATAAAAATAAAAAACCCTGCGAAGATCCAACTCTCTCCAAAGATTAATCCCTATCCCAAAAGAATGGCCTCATCCTTCCTCCTTTCTCCTCTCTCTCCAACCAACCACCGCACCATCATCCATAACCACCCACACCCCCCACATGCCATACAATTCGGTAGGCTACAAATTGAAAAGAGCTAAAGTCAACATTGTTATGAGTTCAGGGAATTCTAATTTTCCTCCAGTTAGTGCTATAATCACAAGTGGCACTGCTACAATCGTCGTTCCTTGTGGCTCTGTCGAGAACATGCCAAAAGGAAACTAGAAAGTTGCTTTGATAAATTTGTTAGCCCTCTTGTTGTTAGCTTATAGCTCGTCTATCATGAAAAGGATGAGTAATATACAACCTCTTCTCTGTTGAATTATGAAATTGGTACTTAGGTGATGATGGGTAAATTTTACAACACTTAAACAAAACACAACAATCTTCACACACTTTAGACCTTGACCAAAAACACTTATGACTAGTCAACTGCTCGTCATGAACAGCCACAATCAAGAATACACACAAAGCATGCCACAATGTACTTGCAACCCTAGAAGATTACTAGAGATAACATAGGCACTCAAAAGGACCCGTCAATCTAGGCATCTCCTGTAGCTCGTCCCCGACAATGGCACCAAAAACTTGTTGTGAATTTTAGACAACCTAAAAAATGGAGATTATAAAGATTAGTCTAAACACAAATTATACTCGCAAGTGCACAAGGTCAATCGTAATATAGTATGGCAGATACGAAGTCATTCCCACGATGATTGATTTCAACTACCAATTAGTCTAACCTAATTTACTTCACAAAATAGTCTAACCACTCTAATTATATAGACAAGAAATTAAACACGTAGCATACTCACGTAAACACGAAAGGGGTTTTTGAAAGAATGATTTAATTAACAACGAAATTAAAAGACAA